TTCCCAATTTTTTCTTAACCAGCTCAGAATTAATGCAGTCATCTTGTTTTTCCATTTATCAACTGATCAAGATATGGAATATTGATTAAATCTTTATTAGTAAAAGCCGAAGAAAAAGTAAAATTTAATAACCCAGCCATCTCACAATCATCAGATTCTAGCCTTCCTTTATCATCCCTCAAGGGCCCTATCTCTATCCTAACATTTTGTTTCCCCTTAATGTATTTAAAGAAATCCTTACTGTTAATTTTTACATTTTCAGCCAACTTTTTCTCATACATCCTTTTTGATGTTGTAATTTCCTGTTTCATCAACTTTCTTGATCTTCTATAATCTTCTAAGTCTCCTGTCATTACCCGTCAATTTATATTGTAGCTTGCAGCTACTCTTTTCTTTCTATTGTGAATATGTTTACATTGAAACATTGACAAAAATGTTAGGATCACAGCAATAAATTATAGTTAATCAACATGTGGGATCAAAACATGAATGTCCCAAGAACTTACACAAATTTAGTTTACAGCATTGAAAGGAAAATTGTGGGCATACTATATGCTAAGATATCCATTAATGGAACTATAGAGTAAAAACAGCTATAGTCAGTAACAAAAAACCACCAACTCTTTTAGGCTACTTTAATTAAATAGTGTAATTTGACTGTCATTCTTATAACACAAACACAGCCCAAGCATGCAAACCATGAACCCTCAGATTCACAGTCTGGCATACTAACTACTAGGCCATTCTTGGCCTAGATACTTGGCATAAGAAACTATTGTACTAATGAAACTACATATAATTATAATGATCATACTATGTTTAAATATAATGATGACACCACGTGTAACTGTAATAATGATAATAATGCCCCATATAACTGTAGTGACGATACCTCATATTACTGTAAATATAACTCTAATGTGGTATGTCACATAAAATATAATATTGATAATATGTACTTCCTTTAGATAGTATAATTTGTCTCTTGGATTTGTTTGTTTGTGTCAAACTTGAATGTTTTTCAAATGACATTTCATGTGTTATTGTTTTTTAACTAAATGTAAAGGTTAATATAAAATACAATATTTTCTTTCTTGACTTTTCACCACTGTTCCCTTCTTTACACGACATTGCATTAAGTTTTTAAAAGTAATTGTGTTGTATAATAACATTGTTTTTTAGTATCACAGAATTGCAAAGTAATCTGAACTACACTTGACTAGAAATCTTTTTTAAAATGGCTAATCATAGTCACTAAGCAGAAAATTATTTTTATGGTTTTGATTTCTCCTTTAAATTTATAGCAAGAGACTATGCTTTAAAATATAAATAAGAGGCTTACAATCTAAACCCTTAGGCAATTTTAATATTGAATTGTTTTTGTTATTTGATGCAAATACTACATACCTAACTCTCCTATGATCGGTGTATTTCATCTCTGTAAAATGTTTTAATTTCTCTTAAACTCTGATTTGGAACATACTAAATCCAGTTGAGGTCATGTGCTAAATTCATTTTGAGGTGTTGCTTTTTTTTTAGTGGGTCCAACCATGGAAGTTATGTATTGTTTCATGTGCAGAGTTAATTCTGTCTTGAAGGTGTCAAGACTTACTGTTCAAATTTCATCCATGTTTAAACTTTTTATCCATAACTTTTGTGGATCACATGATTTATCTTTCTTCATCTTTCAGTACAGTTTATTTTACTTTTCAACTCAACGTTAATAGCCATTCTTCTGTTTTCGTAAACACATAAAGTTTTTTTTAAATTTTTGCTTCAATTTCACACCTAACCTTGTATCTCTTATTCCACCACCACAAATCACTACATCTGCCAAGTCTACATTCTAGGCCCTTGAATTTCTAGTTGTTATGGAGATCAGGTAACTGTGTGTTAGATTTTTTCTTCAAATTATTACATTATTATGCATGCAGAATAATGATAACTTGTTAAACTAAGTAATAATAGTGAAAACCGATGAAAATAAAATGTCAAAGGCGGTAACAAATATAGGAGAATTTCTTTGCACAGGTAAAACTTCTAACTACTGTGAGCACCTCTCTTATCCACAATCCAAACTTTAGAACATCTACAGATACAACTAGAAAAGTTCTTATGTCTCAGACTGCAGCTGTGGCTTCTTTTGACCCTGAATTCATTTTAAAGGTAAGAAAGAAAATGTAACTTTTAGATTTAATTCATCTAGCAGTTATAACCAAATGAGACAAGTGAATTCATAAACCAAAAGAAGAACATTATTGTAAAATGTTATATACTTTAAATAAAAAAAGAGCATACAAAATTTAATACCAATAGTCATAACTTTGCATATTTTAACAAGATTTTCAATGAACAAATATATCCTGAAATATTTCAAACTGGTCTTACTATTGTTGTTGAGTGAATGCTGGAACAGTAGTCTAATTAAAGTCCCCTCTCTTTGTCAGTTATCTTGGAACACCCAGCTGACATATTGTAGTTTGAATTACTTATTATAATTTTCATATTTTATGTTTAATTAATCAAAGTTCTCTAACATTTTTTGTTTCTAAATGTTTTTGATAAATAAAATCTTCAGAAAATTTACATACTTAAGTATTAGTTTGACAAAGTTCCATCATCAACAGTAATGAACAGATAATTTGTTGTTATTATTGGAAATATCTCCAGTCAATATTATTCATTGTTACATTTGTTTTGGAAACTTATTTTTATATTTCAGATTTTACAAAATACTGCTTAATGTAAATCCTACTTGTAATGTTTTGTGCTTTAATGATGTTTACTAATCAGCTTGCTTTTGGAAAAGTAAAGAAGTTTGAGCATGTGTCCTCCTTTGTTTTCAAAAATTCAGCTGATATCAAAATATTTTTTGTGTTATCCTTTGATTATTGCAATTTTTCAAAAGGTAACTGACCACGATTGTTGTAGGTAGCGTTGTATACCCGACAGGAACTCAACATTCGTACTACTGCAAACTTCTTATTAACATATGCTGCATACATAGAGAGTTGTAGGCCTTTTCTAAAGAAGTACTTCAGTTCATCTGTCAGGCTTCCTTCAGACTGGATTGAAGTTGCTGAGCTGTACTTGGTAAGCTATATCTTGGATTGCTTTCAGTAAAAATGTCTTATGAAACTTATCATACTTTTTTAGATAGATTTTTAAAGTGTTGGTACACATTTTCCCAATAAAAAAACATTTAAAAACAGTCACTGTATTTAACCCATTCACTGCAGCTGGGACTTTATACTTCCCAGTGCTCCCACTCCCTCACACTGTGACTGGAACAAATGTATGTTTCCCATTATCAATGCATGTCTTCATCTTCATCCTGCTCGGTCCAGATTTATCACCTTGACTATCATCACTAGATGGAGAGCTAGCATCCTCTTGTCTTCATCATCACACATTTGAACACCACTTGACTCACTTTTACTATCTTATAAGCTATCTGAGTCAAGCACATTAAATATATTTACATAATAATTAGGGTTATTACTTGCCGCTTTAGCGATGTGGGCATGGTTGGCATGCAGTTGTTATACATTCTGCTTAGGCATCTTGTTGGTTACTGAAAGGCTGAGTGGAAAACATTGAGGGAAACCATATATCAACATTAGGTGGAATGTCAATAAATACTTTCCAACTCATTTTACTACCATACATCATGCATGGCAATTTTGAATGACAATGGGGAAACATTTGTCCCAGTCGCAGTGTGAGGGTTAACAGTTTGTCTTTAAAAAATTTGTTGTTTTTATAGATCCAGTGACATTTAGATATGAACAATTACTTCTCCCTAGGATATCATGTTGTCAAGAATAAAATCCATAAATAAGAAACATATTTATGTCAGTCACCAAATGAAACTGACTAAAAGGTAAATAATTTTATATTACAGCAATTTATTTAGCTTGACAAATAACATTTCGTGACTTCTATGATTTATTGATTTTTTTTAGAGTTTGAAAGATGAAGGAATAAACTTGGGATCTTTACCAGCATGTTTGAGAAAGGCCATGAAAGCAAAGTTTCAAGAATTTGATCAGTATCAACTTGGTAAGAATTCCAAAATTTTTATATTCCTAAACTGTCTTGCTTACTATCAGTTAAAGCTATCTCGATCCTGGAATGCCCTCTAAGAATTGCTAACATTTTTTTTGCTAAACAGCACATTAGTTGTTTATACCCCATCAGTTTTGTATCTTTTCAGAACCTATGCTGATTATGTGACTATCCTCCACCAATCATACTATGCCCTCTGTACTGATGCAGCTAGCTCTCTCTACTATTCTAGAGTAATCTTCACTTTCTCGATTGGCATTCTAGTGTACAGACGTATGTTTTAACTCACTCTCCATGAGACTACAAACATTTTTTTTTCTTCATCCTATGTATCCAAGACATTCCCCTGGATGTTTTTTTGCCTGGTAGGATTGCACTTGTTGATCTCAATGTCTTATACAAGGCATATCCACTGAATATTTTGCCCAGATGGATTGCACTTGACATACTCTGATGTAAACCAAGGCACTACCCTTGGCACATGCTTATACAAGCCCATTGTTGCTTCCATACTAGGCTTTCCATGTTTGTTAATGCCATGCTGTTTCAAGTCATGGTTATATAACACTTTTCCACTGACTTGGTGCTGTACATATCTTTTCTGAATGCACTGGTGCCTGCCAATTCAGTTCCACCCTCTTTTTATTTCTGTGTTAATTGCTGAGTAAAGAGCATACCTGTTCCCGAAGTAGTGCTATACCCCACAGGTGTGCTTTTTTTTTCATATTCTTTCAGTGCAGTTGCTTTCCACATGATTGAATATTGATACATCTTTACTGGCCCTAGCTTTGGGTGAGTGAAGGTAAGATCATTTTGGAAGTTAACATTTTCTTACAGTGCAAATGTATTTCCAATAGGTACTTACCTCTACTCACCTGCCATTCATCCCCACTGATATGCCAGTGTTTCTGGTTTGTACCTGCCAGTTTTCGAAAGTGAGGATTACTCTAGTATAGTAGAGGGAGCTACTATACTAGAGTAAACTGTGCTAGTATAGAGGGTGCAACATGATTGGTGGAGGGTAGTCACATAATTTGAAATGGTGCGAAACTGATGAGGTATAAAAGACTGGTGTACTGTTAGGAAAAAATTTTAGCAATGCTTAGAGGACAGTCCAGGATCGAGATAGCTTTGGGTGAGGGAGGTAAATACCTCTCGGAAATACGTTTTCAGTGTAAGAAACTGTTAACTTTCATATTTCTTTTTCTGCTGTACACACCAATAATTAGGAATGTCTTTTTTTTTAAAAGAATGTTAAGATAAATAATTCAATGAACATGTCCATTATTTGATTATTCCATGTAATTGAAACTTACATTTTTAATATTTTTTTCCTCCATGGTAACAGATATGACTCAAAATAGTGAATAATAACTTTTGATTTTCTCTGACTACAGTAATACTATTGCTCAGGACACACAAAAATATGTAAGTTAAAACATCTTTTCTGAAAATAAGATGAGACAGAGTTTGCTTTCACCTGAATAACTTTCTGTGAAGATCTAACAGTAGCATTTCTGACAAAATATTACAGTTTTCGTTAATGCTATGTAGACATGCCTAACTACAGCTTATTTTCAAGTACAAATGTGTATTTTTGTGCAAATATCCTATCATCTAAAGAAGAAATGTTTGTAAGAATCTAATTAGTCTAAGGAGCAATTTATTAACATTAAAAATAGTTTTCTCAGAAGTGGAAAGAACTGACTAATAAAAAGTTTCTTTTCTTCTGCATGCACCAGTCTTTTAAATAATTCATTTATTCTTTAGTGAATAATTTTTTTGGTTGAAAAGCTCAGCACATTTTGAATTAATAGATGTGGTACTGTTTAAAATTAACTTTGCTATTAGAATTCCAAATTCTGAAAGACAACAAAGAATTCCAGTATTGTCTTAAATATGTGTATTAGTATTAATGAACAACAGATAGTACTTATAAAAGAACCATTCTAGTAATCATTAAATGATTTATGTTACTAACACTTACACAAGTTTATAGTGATAGAACATAATAATTCCATGAAATTTTAAAATTGATGTAGTTTTAGAAACTTTATTCTTTGTTTTTGTGTTTACAAGTAGGAAAAGATATTTGTTATGTGTTAGATATTATTAAACATATTTTATGTTGCATTCCAACTTTAAGAGTGTAAATGCTATGGTTTGGATAGTAGACAAAAAATAGAGTATATATAGATATATATGTATATGGCTGATTTTCCTGTTCTTACTTTATTTTCTTAGCAAAATATAATCGAGGCAAAAATAGAAAAAAGAAACTTGCTACAACATTTCCAAATGCCTATAATAAAGGCATAAAGAGTAAAAGGGAACCTGTTGAATCTCAGGAAGTGAGTATTTGTTTGTTTTTGAATTATCAGAATTTGATGTGAGAATGAATTTATAATCTTTTATCATAATTGGTAGATGTGGTATGATCTGGAAAAAAAATAATGTAATATTATTCCACTTATTAGCAACATAAAAGTTTCTTCATTATTTTTTTAACATATTGCATACAATTCTTTCATCTGATTCTGCTAGGTAATCCACTGAACTCATCACAGTTTGTTACAGTTACTGAATGTATTATAAAGTTAATCTACCTTGAAAACAATAGGTTTAATTAACTAGTGATGTTTTTTATAGTATGAATTAAATTATCAGTTGTAGTTAAATATTTACACTTGTCATTTTGTGTTTTGCTATATTTAAGCAGCAATTTTGTTTTTTTAATCAAATGGGTCAGTTAAAAGTCCTTAAGAAAGGTTTTTTTCTCTCTCTTTTGTTTGAGTTTAGATTGGTTATTTGAACACTACATAACTTGTTATATTTGAGTAGATGTTTTTTGTAGTGAAACACATTTGAAATGTTATTAAGATAATCTCATAAAAGATTAGTTTTTGTTTTTTGTTTTGCTGCTACATTTAGCTTTTATAAATACGTACATAATGTAAGTATATGTGAGCCTTAGGTCATTGTGTGATCAAGGTGGGTTGATGAACTTATCCTTCTTAGAAGATGAAATCAGTTGTTAAAAGTGCATTGTTTTCAACCAAAATCATCAAATGAAAAGATTGCACTTTAAATCTGATGAATAGTTCTTAACAGTAACTTATGAAAATGTTAAGTTTCTGTGCATTCACAGTTGTGTAGGAATTACTGTTAACTCTCATGAATGATAATCAATGTGTGAAAATAAGGCTTAGTTCTGGTTATTTTCACCAATAATCCTTGTTAATGAGGATTTTTATAGGACCCAAGAAAATGTTTTCTTATACATGTCAATTTCAAATGCTGTAATACTGTATACAACTTCTAGGCTACACTATTATATGTAATGAACAAAACATTATAGATGAAAATGTGTATAGGCACACTTCATCAAAATAAAGTATAGGTAGTAACAAACATTATATTACATTTCATAAAATGTTTAAAGTATAAATTTTGTTTTTTTACAGTAACAACCAAGACGAGGTATTTTTGTTGATTCAAACGACTTTTATTTATTGACAAGTCTGAAACTTTTATGTCAAAACTCAGAAATGTTTATTTACAAAAATTCCAGTACATTATTTAGGATTCAACATACACCAATAAATGTTTTTAAAGTAATAAATTCATAACAGGATAACCATGACTTAAGCCACCTCTAATGTTTTTCATACGTTTCTGTTAAGGAACACCAAACAGAAAGTCTTTCTTAAAAGTGACTTTTTTCACAAGTGTGTTTATTTTCCCGTGCATGATCAAAAAGAACACTTGCAGAAGAAAAATTAAATATAATTCACTAACTAAGCCCTAACATTAACAACTATTACAGAAGAAAAGAGCCTGATGATTTTTTTTTCCTCACTTACTCTTACTGAATCACCCAGTTAAATCTAAGGTTCCGCAAAAAACTGATACTTAAAGGTTAATATAACTGTTAATAAGATACAGTGATGTAGCCTAATGATTAGTTGATTTTGCAATCTTTGTAGATTTTTTTAGCAAAACTGTATTTTTTTAAAATTCAGAATAAAGCACAAACCTACACTGAAAGCAACGAGATGGAAACTGAGAAGAAAGTAACGCGATGCAGCTTTACTTTGAAACAACTCATTCGGCTCTTGCATATTACCCAACCTGTGAACCATGTGATGTGTTTACTTGGCAAGAAGTATACCTTAATTACTTATTTTTTAAATAGTGAATTTTAAAAACAAAGGGAAAACAAGGACTGAAATTAAGCCATTTATTTCTGAATGTAAATATAGAAAAATATGTTTTATCTAAATACATTTTTTTTTTCAGTTTTAGTTAGATTACATGTAAAACAGAAACATTTTTTAAAATTATTTAACTTGTATTGGATGATGTTCTCCGAGAAGAGAGCCTTCATCTTAAAATTTTGGAACTTGTAAATATTTTCTAGGCTTAGGTGTAATTATTAAGGTGTGCTAGTGTGTGCATGAACTGAGAGAGTTATTTGAAACTCTGCTACAAAATTCTAGGATGGGAAAATTTATAATTCATAAAGAAATAACAACTAATAAAACCTGTAAAAGTATTGATCATATAGTATAGATTTTAAGCCATCTTAATTACACAAAGTGTATATTAACAATGTGTGTGTATGTATAACTTGTAAAGAGAATTTTACATGAAACTCTTCAATTTCCAGGGATATACAGAAATAGCCATACATATTAAAATAAAGATAAACAGAAGCCACCTAGTGCTGAAACACTGCTACAGTAAAAATCCTGAATAATGCAAATCACATTACAAAATATATATCTGTTAGATTTTGATTACTACACAAAATATTACATTTAATTACTTTATTATACAGTTTTAAATAATCATTGAAAGCACACAATAATATACTTAGTTCTCCGAAAGTCAGTGTGAATTATTCACTGTTAAGAACGATGCACATTACGTGTCGTACATAATTTCTTTACAAAAATTTAATTCTAAGGTCACGAATATTAAAAATATAATTACAGGTATCACACAAACAACATAGATGTTTATATTTTTGTGTTTTTATAAGAAAAAAGGAATTGTGAGTTTTATTAAAAAAGTCAATAAATTGTTTGATAGTTTTTGTTTATAGTATGATTTGATGTGATACTAAAACCGTATCTGATGTTTTTTTTATACAGTAATTTTTCTGTTGTCATTCAAGATTTTAGAGAATCATATTGTAATCTAGGTTATTATTTTTTACTGTACATTTTTATATTTTGTTATATGTGCATCTTTACTATATTTAAGAACAAGAAGCCAGTGTTTTACAGCATAGATAATACATGACAGCTGAAGTTTGTTCACATAGTTATACTGAATTAAACTTTGTATACTGTATGATAAGGAGTTTTTATGTGTTGATTATTTTAAAACATCAGGACCTGAAGTTGGACTCAGTATAGAGCTTAAAATTGACTCAATTTAGAGCTTAAAACATTGTCTTCTAGAACAATCAATAACAACTTCTGTTTCTACAATTAATGTATACACTGCTTTGTTCACTATTTATCATATAGCTAAGTTTATTCATTAATTCATTTATGTTACAGGTAAATATAACCCAACCTGTAGTATCTCAGGTCAATAAACAATAAAAGTTGAACCATACTTGAAGTCTGTGGCTTGGTTTTAAGTGCTAAAAGTATCCAGTAATTGCTAACAAATATCTTTGTTTTATATTAATTTGATTGTTAATAAAAAAAATTATACACTTTTAGATATCCTGAGGAGCCAGAACTGTTTAGAAGAAGTGGACTTCCTGGTGTATGGGAAGAAGAACGAGCAGGAGTAAGGATGAAACTACCAGTACCTGAAACATGGGAAACTCAAGTGTCAGCTCGTGGAAATAATGCTGAAGTGTGGCAGGAATTGATTGGTGAGTAGTTTATTTAAGGATTGGGTAAGAATCAAAATTTACAATGTTGCACCAAAGTTAGAAAGTCAAGTAGGCTTTTTTAGCAAATGTTACCAAACATCATGTTTGACAGTTAATACTTTTATATGTTTATTATAATCAATTTGCCATGGATTTTAAACAAAATTTAAAAAAATAGTATTTTACTTCCATCTTTTGGTTCCCCATAATGTTTTTTGTTCAGTACCCCCCGGCAGAAGAGCATAGATAGCTCGCCCATTCAGCCGTGGGGATATTATAATGTGATGGTCAATCCCACTATTCGTTGGTAAAAGAGTAGCCCAAGAGTTGTCGGTGGGTGGTGATGACTAGCTACCGTCCCTCTAGTCTTTTACTGCTAAATTAGGAACGGTTAACACAGATAGCCCTCGTGTAGCTTTACGCCAACTTCAAAACAAACCAAACTTTAATCTATTACATTCATCTAATTAATTATATACACTACACCGATCTTCCTATTTCCAGCTCGTTTAGGGAGTTTTTAAACTACCCTTTGTTTAATACAATAGGCATCTTCAAGTATAACAGTTTAGGATTTAGTTACTTTTTTTTAATATTAAATTGTTCTCCATGAAAACATATCATATATTCAACATAGTATGAACAAGCTGAAAACATGATTAATACCATTCCATGAGTTTCTCCTTACAAATTTTCTTCAGGTTACTCTACTAAAGGTAAAAAACTAATTCTTTGTTAAAATAATTGTCCTTAGATTTCATGCGATAAAACTAGTGAAGACTTGTTACGGTATGTAAAACACAATATATATATATAATTCTGTGAAAATACATTTGTGCCATTCCTAGAAAAACAAAGATAGTAAAAGGTTTATTTTTTGGCAAAAAACTTGTGATGATACTACATGCAAAGATTAAAATAATTCATGAGTTTTAAATTGGAGTTTTATAAGAATACTAAAGATCATTTTAATATAAAAAGATCTATAAATACAGACATTTCAGATTTTTTTGATAATTCCATAATCAATAAACTTTATAAGTTTAAAAAACATCATAAACTTTTAACTCTTTTCATACAACATGGGCAAAATGCACCTGGGTCTGTTATGGCATGATGATTAGGATACTTGACTTGCAATCTATGAGTCATGGTTTCGAATCTCATCACCAAACATACTCACCCTTTCAGCCATGGGGGCATTATAATGTGACAGTCAGTCCCACTTTTTGTTAATAAATAATAGCCCAAGAGTTGACAGTAGGGAGTTCTTATGAGTTGCTTTCCCTATACTCTGTCATTTCAGAATTATGGATGGCTAGTGCACATAGTACTTGAGTAGCTTTGCACGAAATTCAACAAAACAAAGAAAGTGCACATGTCGTGAACTCTAAAAGAGTTATATTCAAAATTTAATTAAACAACATTTTATCAATGTGAGTCAATAAACTTGACATTAAGACATAGTTTCTTTCCCAAATTTTATAATACCTGAGTTTTAATTTCTTAATTTCAAAAGGAAATATTTAAAAACATTCCCAGTGTTCACTTCTCTATGTCACATGACACATCTGTGTTCTGAATTTTTTCCATTAAGCCCCCCAGTGGCACAGCAGTATGTCTGTGGACTTACAATGCTAGAATCCGGGTTTTGATACCCGTGGTGGGCAGAGCACAGATAGCCCATTATGTAGCCTTGTGCTTAATTACAAACAAACAAACAAAATCTTTCCATTACATGTTATGTCTTCAATAATAAGATTTTGAGACAAACAGTAACATAAAATTTGAATCTCCTATCTTATCAATTTGCTGAGATATCAATAAATTTGTTAACCAACCAGAGAAGTCCTTTTCATATCTCTCTCTCTCTTTTGAGACAAGTATACAGTCATCTTTATGTTGTCAAGGGCATGTTTATAATCAATAGAAAGAGCAGGTTCACGTATATGTAAATTGTATGACTCCTTTTAATTTCTTATAAAACTATAGTCATTGGAATTCATTGGTTGTGTGCTCTGAGCATTGAAAGAAATTGTTTAACCTATTTGTAGCTTATCTAAAAAGCCAGGTAAATTATATTAGCAATATTCTGCTCTAGTGACTTGTACATTTTTTGTGTTTAAATTGCTGAATTATATTTGGATAACCAACTTATAAAAATGTAGGGTTACTGAAGCCACAGCTTCAGAGAGCAAAAGGCCTAGAAGTAGGTGTTAGATCTCTGGTATTTTTATGTAAATTTTTATTTTTTAAATATTTTTAACAAATGTAACTAAAATTTAGGTATTATAAAATTTTCAGTTTACCTGAATAAAATTACTCCAAAATAAAACATTGAAAATTACACTAGCATTGTGTTATTGATCCCATACATGAAACTTAACACTAGCTAGTGAGGCATTACATAAACTCCCTACTATGGATACATCTAATAGGCTACTGCTGAGATTTATTGCCTTTCATGTTTAGTAGTGGGTACAAAATTCACAGTAAAACAATAAAATTAAGAGAAAGGTGGGAAAAAGTTAACAGTTGAAATTGTGATCACAAGTAAATAGACACCACCTTTTCAGAAAAAATGAAAAATCTCAGTCATATTCA